CATGTGTTTAGTATGCTTTGTTCTCTGATGTATGCCTTCATTACGTCTTGTTGTAATGTTATTATTCTGCTTCATGTTTGTGTATTTTCTTCGGCGATCTAAAGAAAATTCCTTTATGATCTATGGCTTGGTTTTCTTTAAATCTGAGACTGTGCTTTATTTGAGGTGTCTCTTTAAAGCAAGAATGCTGATTTGTCTAACGCTGGGATATTGTGAAAATGTGAATCCGTTTTTTGTCAAACCTATACATGTTATTATTTTTAAGAAATCTCCCAGCCATCTAGTGGAATAAGACATTAGATTTTGCACTTAATGGTTTAAAATCATGATCTACTTTAATTAAGAAGGAATTTTTAAATTAAAAAACTTTTCTTTGTATACTGAATGTGCTTGTAAGATTACTATGACAAGTCATTTATAGGACAACATTTAGTATTTAATTTGTGTAAACTGAGGAAAGCAGAACATTTTTTTTTTCTGGCTGAAGCGTAGGTGCTTGCCTTGTTACACACTTTAGGTGTGTTAAGGTGTGCTAATACACAGTTATTAGAAACCATGGCAAATTGTGTTGTGAGAAAATTATTTTAAATATACTGGCCTTTTCTTTTCTTAGGCATATCTGAATGGCACAGCAGAAGTGTTCTTGTCCCATAATCCAGAAGTCGATGTTTTGAAACCATCCTTTTCTACATTTTAGGCAACACTTTGACATGACAGTTAGCTATATTAGCTTATAGCTCTCAGGTCCTGAGTTCCATCCTGCACTGGGGCTGCTGTGTGAAATTCGCAGGCTGTCTGTATATTCACACAGGTTTTCTGTGTATGCAGTCTGGTTTCCTTCCATCTCTCAACAAATACAGATTGGGTTTTATTGTCTTCTCCAAATTGTGCCTTTTGGGGGAAATCCAATACAACCAATACTGGGTATGGAGATGCAGAGATACAGAACCAGATGAGTTTAATAGATGAATGGCCTCCTCTCATCTATGGCCTTTCTGAAGTTCTTCCTAAATTCAGGATAAACTGTCATGGGAATCTTTTTTCCTGTCTCTTATGACAGCTGTATAGCAAAGCTGAAAGCTTTATCTATTATTAGCATTATCTTATTCTGAATCTAAAAATATACAGTAAACTAATTTTATCATATTACTAAAACAGTTATGCATTACTAATGTTATATTTTTGTTTTCGTGAATTCCCAGAACACCATACTGCAGATAATATGTCAGCACTTCAGTTACAGTATACTGTATCTCTAGCAAATATACAGCATTATCAGCATTACAGCAAAAATCTATAGTTTATTTTTAGACAATTTTTGCTGAATGTTGCCAAACTCATCAATTTGGTGAGGTCAACCAGCCTATATCTAAGCAGGACATATGTTAGAGAAAGAAGAGAGATTTCCCACTTTGATGGATTTTAAATACATTTAAACTCCAACATTATTAGTATTCCGCCTGGCGTTTATTTGACTTAGATCAGCTGTAAGAGTAATTTGAGTTTGCCATTAGGCAAATAACAAACAATGCTCATACAATATTATTTATAAAAAAAATCATTCTCATGCTACATAGATACTGCAAAAGTGTCCATAACACAGGTCTACCTTGCTGGATATGATAATTCCTCTGTGTAGCCCAGGGTTTGTTTAAAAAGCTTTACAACCGATGTATGTTTACAGCTTGGCAAAAATAACATGAATCTTACTGAAATGCAATTAAGGAATTTCCATCTTAGCAGATGTTGAGGTCTCTTATAAGTCTTTAAACATATATTTCAGTGGCTTGTAAAAGCTTTACTTTTTATTGCCTTTTTTACCATACAGTGCAGTTTTTATTCTCTATTACCATTTACACCTTGGCATCCTAGGGCTCTTTTTAAGATGAAAAAGAGAATATATCTGAAAAGCAAAAATAAACTCAAATTTCAATCAGTTACACAAAAGTGCACTCAAAAAGATATTGTATCTTTTCAGTTTTGATTTAAAATAATAAGGTTTTTGGCATTCCTTATCTAAAGTGGGAAGGAGATATACAGGCAACAAATTCAGCTGAAGAAAATTCTAGGCAAGGAGTAGGTAACCTTAGCTCTTCCTGTCTGCAGAACTTTGATGTCACCATAACATAAGTTGATAAATTGGCTTTTAATTATCTAATTGGCTTTGCTGCTGAAAGTTGCCTAAATATGTAAGGATCAGCTGTAACAGACTTGGAATGAAAGAGCCAAAGTTACTGATTTCGGTTTTAGCCCTAACAAAGTGACATTGATTGTCTTGGAACTGGGTGGTTGTTCAATCCCGGATCCGGAAGAACAGTGTATCTGTAGATTGTTTAAGTTCTCTTTAAAGCAGCAGTTCCTAAAGAGCTGGGAAAAGGTTTTAAGTTGGTCCAGTCAAGCCAGTGACCTGCTAGTTGGTATATAAACCTGTAGACACATTGGCTTCTGGATCCTGGATTAGGATTGGAAACTCCTGCCTTGGAATAACCAACAAATCTACATTGTCTCACTGTAGAGATTTATCATGAAGATATGGAATAAGCAATTACTGAATCTGAAATGTCCCTAATTCCATAATGTATTTCATTGGCTTTTGTAATTATTAGAGGACACAATGTGCTTCTAGTAATTTTTTTAAAATATTGTTCTTCCATGTTCTTTTAGATGTTCAGTCTTTAATCTGGTTTGACTTTTTTCATCAATAGAGAACTGGTTCCATTTTGTTATTGGTACCTGTTGCAATGTTATAAGTTGTTGGAAACTCCTCTCACTCTCTTTTTCATGTCACAATTGCTATTTAGACCTGTTATCCTGATTTGAAGATTTTACCCCTGAGAAAATGACTCAAACTGGTCTCCATTCTTGTGTATCACAAACTGAGGTCCTTAGCTACAGTATCTGGATTATGCTGTCTCTTTGCTGTTAATTTTCTGTGCAAAGACTAGATATTAGCTAATATTCATGCAGTGGAATTCCTGGATGTTTTTGAGCAACAAAACCAAACAACTTGATTAGCTCAGTCTTCTATGCCCTCCAGTGTATACTGGATCACTGGGAGTTGTTACTGGCAGTAGTATATGGATATCAGAATGTGTTGATTGTGTTTGGCGGCAAGTCCTATACAACAGAGATTCACAGACTCATTTTGTTCGTTTGTGCAATGTCTCCATTTCACTGTCTTAATTGTAGTGTTCATAATGTTAAACAAATGTTATTTCCTCTGAACTAAAAGCTGTTTGTAATTTAGTCTCTCCCTGGCCCAGGTACCTGCACAGTGGCTCTGGTGGCAGCTTTAAATACAATACAGTGTTAAATTGCAATATTGCTTTCTTTTGGACAAATGGGACTTGTAATGCCCTGGTTCTGATTTTAGCTATTTGCACAATCTTCTTAATGTTTCATTGTGGGGCTGTTCTGACTCTGGAAATAACTAACATTTACATTTAAAACACTCTCCCACAAGACATTTCCATGGAACAATTGTACAACTAAGAAAGGTCTAGATTTTTATGTTTAAATGAAGCTTAATCAACATCAAAAATAACACTTATTTCATACATCTGCTTTGTCCCTCTGGGTACCTTTGTTTAGAGCACATCCTTGTATCTGTTTAGCAGGGCATACTGGTAGTTGTACATCACATTAAAACTACTGTCAATATTGAAAAAACCTAATTGTATAATGTTTTATATTAATCTTTTTAATACTGTTTTATTTATTTTTAAAGATCATTCCAAAAATTTCCAAGTATTTTAATTTAAGGAGATGTGTATGTAGATTCTCCACACTGTTCTTTTTTTAGAAGAATTATATCTTTTGCTGATATTGTTTTGATTTCACTCATCAAGTGTATATGCCCACCATGACAAAGTTACATATTTGAACTAGTTCTTACTTTGTATTCTGTCTGTTTGTGACCTACAGTACATGCTCTGCAGAATCTCTAGCCATTTGTTTTACTCACAAAAACCCCTGTTTGGGGTCCACATAATTCATGAATGCTGAATGTCCAAACTCTTCCAGGTTCATTCACAAAATGGCACCCTGCATTGGCTACACACTCCCTCCAAGGCTAATTGGATCTCCAATCCTAGGATCTCATCCAGAGATGAAAGAAACCAGTGTATCAGCTATAACAACACAACTAGGTAGCTTGTTCCATACTTCAGTGACTCTTTGGTTGTGTCCTTAGTTTTAAATGCATATTGCTGCACACAGACAAACAGGGACAACATATTTGAAAAAATAAAAAAATGTCTTTGACTGTCTTATGTAATAAATCCAGGACTTTTGAGTAATATACTGTATGTATATTATAGTTACCACGTGAACAGGATTTGACATAATCTCTTAATAATCAAGTATTTCAAATCAGAAGTTAAATATTTCAAGAGTTATATGAAAGTCCTGATAGTGTACCACTGTAATTGTCCTGTACTGAAAAGTGTGTAAGTAAATGTACAGTAAATAATAATGACAAATAATAAAACAAAGTAAAAATAAATACTATGTAAGTTTGAAAATTTAGGAATACCAATGGTGCCATGTTGGGGAAAGTCAGTTGCTTATGATTTGGTGTTATTTGTGTTTCGCACACTTTAGCGAATGTTCTACAGTGTAGTAACGACTGAAAACCTTGTATAATTATGAGAAAAAAGGCACAAATGCAGTTGTTGACTGTGTTAATTGCAATTGTTAAAAAAACAAGTCAAGAAAGTCAAGAGGCAGAAATCATATATGAACATGAAGCACTCTTTGCTATAGTGAAATATGGAGCTGGTTCTAAGGCCAGACCACCTTGCCTTGGTGCAATAACCCTTGTATGGTCAGAACCTAGTGTCTTTTTCTATTTTCCCTTTAGTCTTAACCTTATGGGGCTTCTTCAGCCTGAACCATTGGCTGATGTGGCTCCTTGCACCAGAGAACTTCAGCCTCTAATCTCAAGGGAGTACTGGCTTCTTGGAGAGAGGGTAGCTAAACCTTTCCTTTAATTTTTTTTTCAGCTTGAGACGATGAGTGAGCACTGAGCATTATCAGTAACAAACACACTTCTGTGCAGACTCTAAAACTAACTTAACCCAGGTTTTGTCTTACCACAAGACTGAATTTAAACCAAATGTACTTGTCTCATCACAAGATTTTGCCAGTCTTATCTCACTTCAGCATAAGACAACTACTCTTCTGTGCTAAACCTATTTATAGAGAAACTTGATGAAAATCAACTGCATTCAGTTCCGTGTATGAATTTATTTACTTGTTGGAGTGTCCCTAAGCCACCCTCTAGTGCTCCGCTGCACTAACTCAAATATATCGTGCTAAAACTTTCTAGATCTGCTTATTTGAACACGTTGCATTCTTACAACAGGTAACAGAGTTAGGAGTGAGTGAGTTAGCACATACAGTCCTCCTTCACCACTGGATTCCTTCACGATGAGCCTAAAGCTATCAGGAATTGAACACTAAAGAGACTAAGTTTGGGGGAAACCATATATTGTTGGAAAGGTTTAATTTTTGTTTTAAGATCTGCCAGTTGTTCTTTTTTAGCATCTGTTTAGAGGGCGGGCTCGTCTGTGGGGAATTGTTTAGTAAACTTTTAAGTTGCCCCTATAAAAATCCACTTCTAGGTGCGTTAAGATCAGTGTTAGGGATCTAGTGAGAGAGAATGAAGATGATGGATTCAATTCGGCCATTTTCTAACCACTTTATCCAGTATAGGGTCATGGGGGAACCAGAGCCTATCCCAGCAAGTAGCAAGCGCAAAGCAGGATACACCCTGGACAGGACACCAGCTCATCACAGGGTACATGCAGACACAAACACACACACACTCAGACTAGGCCCAGAATTCCCAGAAGCCAGGTAACCTACCAGCAAGTCTTTGGACTGTGGGAGGAAACTGGAGAACCCAGAGGAGACCCACGCAAACGAGGGGTGAACATAAAAATTACCACACAGATGGCACTCCAGAAACTGAACCGAGGCAGCAATGCTAACCACTGTGCCACCAGGCTGCCCAGCTCAATTAATTATTCTTGTAAATTGTAGCCTGTAAGTATTAGTTTGTGTTTGTACGTCTTGTGTATGTGTTATTTTTCTGTAATTGGTCTTTTAAGGTATTGTTTATTTCTCCAACACCAAGTTGTTGAAATTAAATTACATATGTGACCTTGCTCCATATTCCCTGATTAGTGAGTTTTTACTTTCATAATTTTTTATTTAAGCTGCTGTCACAACACCTACCTCCATGACAATCCTTTTCAGTGTGAAAACATTGAATTTTCTGTAATACAAAAATCTAGACTTTGAACTGACTTTTCCTTGCAGTTTTAACTCAGAAATGAAAACAACTTTACTGTTTGCACTGCTTCCCCTCCAGAATTACTAGCACTGTACTGTTGAACTATGATGTTTCAAGTAAGTGTTTGCACAGGTATTTATAGTGTGTATACTCCTGATGCCCAACTGGGACAGACTAAGTCAAAGTTGGTTTGTGCATTTTAAGGTATACCAAAATGCATGTATTGTATGCATTTGCAAACATATGCAAAAATTGTAATGCAATGAACTTAGTCTCAACAGCTAGGTAGGATATTGTATGTTTTATTTTTTATTGAACTGACTTTTTGCCCTTTAAATTATGGTGCTTAACTTTTTCATTCTTAGAACTCAGTTCTGTGCTGATTCACATAATTAAATAGCAAGAAAACATCATGTGTAAAAAATTGTATAAACGATACAAGAGATACCTATGGAAAATGGATCTCACCTGGCTGACATACTATTTGGTGTTATCTGATCCCTGCATAATTGTACCTTGTGAATTAATTAGATAAAACTATGGTTCTGTTGCAACTGAACTGAAAGCAATGAAGTTTTAAAATAAATGAACCAATTAACCATGGAAGACAGTTATAGGAGGACCTTTAGATGTGTACAAAGGAAGGCATATTATTGTGCTCATTGACCATTTAATTAGCAATTCTTGCTTTTTTGCTTTATGTAATATTTTGCTATAGTAGGTTGCCTCACTAGTGTGAACTATGTATTGAGTAGAAACAGTGTGATTTATTATCAAGATGTTTATCTTTTAAATGAGATAGAAATGTCTAAAAGGCATTAGAAGATTGAAAGGTAACATGATAAGAGGAGCTCAGAACCAGTGATGTCTTCTTTCCATGTTAAGGTTTCCAGTAGCAGCAATTAGTTAGAATGAGGTATGATTAATTTAAAAGTGAGCTTTTCTTTCTAGATAAGAGGATAATCTGCTGTCTCAGGGGATACTGATTTGAAGAAGATAGAAGCCTAGGAGGGCAGAGTGGATTAAAGCTATAAACAAAGCGAAAAAATAGATTAAATTACTTTTACAAGGAAAAATGAGCTGGTATTTCGAGTTTGTCCATAAGATGCACAAAGAAAATGAAACACTACAAAAAATATAATTTCTTCTTCTATTCATGCATGACGTTATGCATATCAGCTTAGTGAACTTCACTGCATAATAGCTGAACATAAGCATTTTTTTTCTAAATAGAATAGTAGGTAGTGCTGATTGTGACAATAGGGTGCATGGGTTTGAGGAATCAGAGTCACAGTCAGCTAGTGACCTGACTCAGGCTTGAACTTCCCATAGTGTACAACCTGCGGTATGAACAAGTTTACTGATTAAGCTTCCAAGGCCCAATGATAGTATCTTTTGTATTATAATTTAATAATATCTATGTAATAATTTATAATTACAAGTTTACACTTGTGATATACTGATAATGGAAGTTAAAGTTTTGAAAAGACAATTTGTAGAACTTTAATCTGGAACACAATTTTGCTTTGTATTTTTCCAAATGAACTATTTCAAATTCCAGATCTATTTCCCATTCCTCTGTTATCTTTTGTTTAATTAGATTTTTATTAAACCTAACAGTTGCTTTCTGTTACAATCAAGTATGAACAGAGAATATCTACAGCAAATTTTAGCTTAGAACATAATCTTTTAAACTGTCTAGTCTAGTGCATTAAGTTACAACTTCTTGCTGTCATGGACAGTGGTAGGACTTAGCATTTTGCTGTTGTCCACTCTGGCCTAGAAGGGGTATTATTGTTCATATATTGAAATTAAATAAGGTATATAAATCAGATTATCCATGTTGTTATTCACAGGATTACAAATTAAAATATTAAATGCATAGCGTTAATGTAAGATAACTTTATATCATAACACTTAAAGTATAAATATTTTCTTAAGTAAACTATGATATTTAAAATTCCTTTGCTTGTATAAGGAAATGAGTTCACAAATACATCAATTTATAGAAACTACTAGCAATTCTGAGAGAAATGGATTGAATTACATTTACAAGGAAAAATTACCTGGTATTTTGAGTTTGTCTGTAAGATGCACAAAGAAAATCAAACACTACATGAAATATAATTTCTTCTTCTATTCATGCATGACTTTATGCATACCAGCTTGGTGAACATGTCTGTGGAATAGCTGTAGCAATTATATCTTATATAAGTGTAGCTAGTAGGATTGATGTGGTTTTTGGAAGGCAGGTTTTGATTTGATAAAGGTGAAATTAAAGTAGGCTATTTGATGCAGAAAGTAGCTTGTTTTAAAGGTAACTTGATTGGCACCAGTTTGGGATTTTTTAAAATGCACTTGTATGTTGCTGTGCTGTACATTGCATTTCAATATGTGTTCAAGAAGTATTGATATCTAACCTTTTTTGGAAGAACAAATGCTTTTTCCAAGCTTAGACTAAAGTGAAGGGGTTAAAGTTAAGCCAAGACAAAGTGAAACTGCTTTGATTCTCAGCAGGAAGTATTGTATTGGGATTTCAATTAAAAGTTTAAAGCAAAGTTTTTCATTCTTGGCCCAATAGAGATTGCACTTCTGAACAAAAAATGAAAGAAAGGCTAATACTTTTGACAGTTGGTGTAAATGCACAAAACATTCATGCAGCTTAATTGGCTGATTCATCTGTGTGACTCTGTGATTCAGCAGAGGGGCCCGTGCTTCGAGCGCCCTAGGAGTCTGTCAACTTAACACACAACTAGAGAATATAAATGGGTTCCAGCATTTTGTCATTACCTGTTAAAAGAGATTCTTCCAACTTGACAGGGCTGGCACAGTTCCCCACTGCTTTTTAAAGCTATTGTGGGACTCTAGCAACAGCCATATTGGAAGTGTTTAAATTGAATTCACAGAAAACAAATGCTGAAGTGAGAATTTTAAGCATATCCATGATCAACAGGCTTTACTAGCATATAGATTTGTGGGGTTTTAACAGTTCTTTTTTACAGTGTATCAGGAATGAATTGGGTGAATCAGTGGCAGTAGTAGTTCTGACATTGCTGGCATCTGTTTTTTGCAAATATCAGTAGAAAGGCTTACTAGCTCTCAGTATCTTAACCTTTTTCTTGAGTAAATCTCCTTTTATTTTAGCACATTATCCTTGCAAATTACTTCCAAGTCAGTCCATATTTCTGCATCCTGCTTCCAAAATGCTATCGGTACTGCATTTGTACTTAATAATATATATGTATTGTATAAGTGTGGCAGTATTGATTTCTGCTTCCCTTATCTTCTAAGAGATATCAGTAAACTTTTCACTACCCCTCCTCCTTGATCCTCCATTGTCTGAGTGAGAAAGGTTCTCCTACAGTCCACTCTGTACCTCTTGAGCCTCCTCTACAGGGCTATGGAGGCTGTAACATGTCAAATAGATGAATGGTCTAGAGGTGGACAGGACAGAGGACTTACACTTGCTCCTTATCACCAATGTGTGGTTGCAGGATTCCCAGCCTTGATCCAAGTGATTAGACATAATTGGACATTCCAATATGGTGGCCACATAAGCAAAATCATCAGAAAAACTATCAATATAACAAACATTTGTGTATTAAGAAATAATTGAGACCTTTACCCTATAACCCAGAAAAATTCACATGTAAGCAAAATAATTCAAATTATTAGACCTTTATGTGCATGAACAATATAAGTAAATATTACATGTTGCATTTATATGGAATGTGTACTTAAATTTAATTTTCTGCAACAGTGCAATGATTCCAAAAATATACAAAATATATTGATAAATACACTTCTGCTTTGTGTTATAACATTCTAGGATACAAAATATATATGTTAAAATTCATAATGCTATTATGTGAACAAACTGACTGCAAATATCCCAACTGTTTTCTCTTGTAAATTGGTCTAATTATTACAAAATCACTGATATCTAAAAACTGCACTGTAAGATATTAAGCGTATTTGTGGTACTTTTAGAGTATAATATATAGTGATAGTACTCTACTAGTGATAGTAATATAAGCTACTGTATGTCATGGTTATATGGAACTCTTGTATATAAAGGCACATTTTTGTCACTTGAACGACTAGTTTAGCAGTAATGGAGTCTGATGGTATAAATTAATTTACTGGTTGTTAAAGAGAAATGCAACATTAGCTTTGTGTTCTCTTGTCATGTTTGTGCTATTCCTGCAAACTGCTTGTGCTTGCATATTCATAGCCTGCTTCACTAGATAAAGTGAACGGTATCCCTTGTTCCTAGGTTATATTTACTCATATTTATGTTATAAAACATATTTATGTTTTTGGTATAGATCTGCATGAACCAGGACAGAAAACGTGTCATACAGAATTTTACTGAAAACCAATAGCTACTAATCACTTTGTCATTACATTAGTAGCATGCTTTATTTATGGATTTCCTTTGTTTTGAAATAAAAAAACATGATATTAACTGCAGGAGTTAATATATTTCTTTCAATAGAGGCACCCATTTATTATTGAGTTGATTTGTTTTGCTGATCATCTGTTACAAATCTGTCTTTATTTTGTTGTCAACTGTGATTTATAATACAATAGCTGAATTCTCATGAACAGTATGTTTTATTTTCTTTGTATTAAACCATGTAAGTCACAAATGGAGTAACAGATATAATTTCTGTAATGGGCTTCCCATTGCTCCTCTTTAAAATAAAGTAATGCCAAGATTAACTTAAAAAGTGCTAATTCTTTAGTTATATAATACTGTGCAATGTTGTACCTATCCTATACACTAAACCGTAACACTCTCAAATATATAAACTAGTCTAAGACTAATGTAAGAGCGGTTCTCTGAGAGTATAAAGCGTAAAAATATTTAGAATGATACTGTTATGTGCGTAGCTTTGCAGTTGTAACAAATGTTTAGGTATTTTACAGTGAATTTTCTATCTGATGTGCAACATATTTATGCATTCTAACCAGTCACATATTAGATGAATAAAATATGCTTAGTTATATAGCTACGGTATGTCACAATGTTATGTTCAGAGCTATAACGATCTTGTTCTTTTATTTAAGAAAACATTACTGTAGTTCTAAAATCAATAACATGATAATTTATCATGTATTATGCAGTTGACCAAATGACCCTCATAGATTAGCAGTATTTTAAAAATGAGAAAGTACAACATACCTGCATTATATACACTATATTTGATCTTTTGTATTAGTAAAAAGGTCTTAGAGTACCCAATCATGAACCTATTCAAGATGAAAAATCATACAAGATAATAATTCTTTAAATACTGGTCCATATGAAATGTGGATCTTAAAATATATTTGTAGCATAGAAAATTTTATATTTCAGCTTGTATCAGATCCTTTGCCTGACCTTTACATTTTTAAATTGATCTGGAACATAAGGTTTCCTGAGATAATTTAATCGAACCCTCCAGTGTTTTTTTCCGTTTAAACAATTAGCATTTAATGCATTTATGTGTGCAGCAAATCAAGTGCAATTACAAAAACCTCTTTTAAAATATATCTGTAAATTTAAATGGTGCCTTCTATTGAAAGTTCTGTTTTTATTCTGTTCTGCCACCCATGATGTGCATTAAAGTGTGAGAAATGAGCCTGATTGCATGGTTCATTTGTTCTCCTTTGTAGAGCCAAGCCGAGGCACACTACAAAGGCAGTAAACATGCCAAGAAGCTCAAAGCACAGGAGTCCACGAAAAATAAGCAGAAAACTGTTTCTCCCAAGGACAACGCAAAGACAATCACCACCTCCACCACTTCCACTGCAGTCACTGCCAACAACTCTGACAAACCAGGTTAATAGCAACTTTTGTTCTTGTTCACATTTTATATACCTCCATGTGCTACTTTTGGGTGATTTGCATGTTGGTTTTCATTGTCAGTGAGTAAAATGTATCTGCTTCTTTTATGAATTTAGTCTCACAAGTTACACAGTGTTGTAATCAGAGCTGTTATTTGTTCAGGGGCATCTAAAAGGTGTTGCGCTCATTTGTAGTTAGTACTTTGGTAATCACATAACCTTCATGTCCAATCTCATGCTTAAGGTAAGAGGTAAGTAGTCTTTGTATAAACACTCAAGTCCCACTCGTACCATTTATACTTAGGGCTGGTCATTTATAGAAACTATATAATTAGGTCACTTTTCATTATTTTAAATCTTTGGAATGATTCCTGATTGCAACATTAAGACCAGCTACTTTTTAAAACTTTAGTTTAGTTACTTTAGTTTGAAGAATTATTTTTATTCTGAGCTTGTCAACCAAAGAAACCTGAGAGTATTTTTAAACAAAACTAAGAATTGGTGGACCAGTAAGGTGTTCACTTGCTTGAGGGCAAGAGAGGAGGAAGTAAGCTCTAGGTGTCATTCTTTGGATGAGATATTATTTCCTGAACATTAAAGATCCTGCAGTACCATGTTAAGCCTAGTGTCAGGCTCAAACACAAAACTGGTTATAAATTCAGAAAGATACAGAACTTAATGAGTGATCTTAACCATTTTTCTTCCCCACCAACACCCTGCAGCTCTTAAAAAGGAGATTTTAATCTAAGTGATATTTTCTGTTTAAATGTGCAAGGAAAAAGTATTTTTACAAATGCCCTGTTCTAAGTGTAAGTGAGAATGGATTTTTTTGTCAAATAAATACAAAGCAATGGTTAAAATGACAAGAGTTTGCTACACTAGTATTTAATGGTCTTTTTGTTTTATTTTAAAGCCAGGCACACAGTGGTGTGTTTTTTTTTATTCTGAATGAATTAAACAAGTGATATGATAATACTTCAAATAATGGCGGTTTGTACAGTTCATTTTATACAGTTCATCTGAATAAACAATGAAATGTGTCTGTTTCATATAGAAAATGTTGTTCTCTCTTGCAAATATATATTTGGAAGACAGTTTCATTGTACTTTTAAAAGCTTAAAACCATTGGCCTTGACACATTTGACCGCAGAGGGACAATTGTTTCAAGTTGGGTTTTTTATTTCATATAACACAGTAGTAAACTCAGAAGTGCTTTACAGTATATGAACAAATAACACATTGAAATTAAAGTAGATTACAAATCCAAGAAGCACATACAGACAATATATGCACAAAAAACCTTTATAAAAACATAGACTACACTTAGAAGTGCGTAAGTCATTGATTTCTTTGGGATGGCATTCCAGAGCTTTGGGGCATAGGAGCAATAGGTTCTGTCACACACAGAGTGTATATTAAGAATGGGAACATAGAAAACTAGAAACAGTTAAATGTGGGTCATATTGGGGAGAAAACAAATACCATATTAGCACTATCACGCTACATAGTGGAAGATTCAGTGGACGGATTTTAAAGTCAACTCAAAACCGGTGCAAGGATTGCAAGACAAGAATGATGAAGGTCACTTGTTTGCAATGTAGTCAGGATTCACATTGTTCTGAACATATTGTAACTTCAGGGTAATTTTAGAGACTCTTTGCAAGTAGGGCATTTGCAAGAATTAAATTACTTCAAGAAAAAAAACGATAAAGTATTTCAGATACAAACACATACCCCAGCCATTTCAGAACTGGAAAGAAAATCTTAAAAAGTTACAAAAATATTCTGCCCAATGAGGTTTAAAGATATAGCCAGGATGGAAGAGCATTACCAAATTCCTTATTAGGATCAAAACTGAAGATAAGTGGCATCAAAAGACAAAGTTTAAGAATTGGTTCTACATAACTGATAGGGGGAACCTTGATCTAATATCCTTGATCTTATTCTTATCAGAATTAAGATTTAAAAAGTGTGTGATCCAAGCTTGTATATCAGAAAACGTTTTGAAACTGCTGCCTTGGTATTAGGTGTAGTGTTGACATTGATTTGAGTATCATCTGCAAAGAAATCCTGATTCACATTCAATTATAACCAAGGGGAACATGCTGAATAGCATTAGGCCCAGTAGGCCTATTATTGGTAGTATTTAACTAATACTACCTCAGAACTAAAACCGCCAGACAATAAAATATGATCCCTTGACAAGGTCATATTTAAAACATTTAAGGGTAGAGATGACAACTCCAACCAAAGTAAAATGCCATAATTTACAGTATTGAATGCCGAATGCATTTGTGAATGGAAGTGAATTTATTTTAATACACCCAAATCTGCTGGCATGGTAAGAAGGAGTAAGCAGCTTTAACGAGCAGTTTCAGTGTTGTGTAATGTTTAAAGCCAGAGTGAAAACTTTATAGTGATACAGTATTTCTATGTGTACTGCAGAAGCACACTCTAATGTCATCATAAAAAAGACAAATGAGATATGGGCAAATATGTATTTAGATTATCTGAAGCCTTGTTTTTTTTTAAGCATACTGGTATGACTGCAGCAGTTTTAAAAGCTATTGGCACCATGCCAGAGCTCAGGAAGTCATTTATTATGTTAAACGCCAAAGAGCAAAGGGCACCATAACAGGAGAAAAACACAGGGAATGGAGTCCAACATAGGGAAGATGGGCTGCATATGTTATACAAATTTTGTCAAGGCATGCAGGGGGAATTTGTGCAAACTGGGAAAGAAGAGAACCAGCAAAGGCAGGTGTACAAAGAGGCTGTGCAATTGAAGCATTGGAAGAGGTGAAAATTGTTGTGCCAGATGTCAGATGACTGGAGTTGTGCACTCAAAACCAGAAACTAGCCAGTTATGCTGCTGTTTATGATAAACTGAATGCAACTGATTAATATAAATTTAAAGAGATGAGAAAGCTGTAAATTGGGTTTGCAGCTTGCCTAAGTTTAGCAACTTGCTGGTAATTATATACAATCACAATGCTTCTGCAGATAATGTTCCTCATTTGTATTCAGTGTCTTTTTGGAGATCACCAGAGATTAATGCCAGACTGATTCACAGAGGACTCTCTGGCCCTTGTCCTGTGATGTAGTGTATTAATATAAGCTCTGTTTAGACTGTCATTTCTATCAGGTCTGTAATTGCTCTCCAAAATTCTGCTAGCAGAGGATAAAGTGGGATTTAGTCTACATTGAGAAACTTGAAGAACTAAGTCATTGAAATTGCTATCTGCTGTGCTTTATATCACATAATAGTTTATGTAATAAGACAGCATTGCAGATTATCTTAACAAATATGATGAATTCTTCAAATTGACATTGAATTCCTCGTAGATTTGACTTTTCCTAGCAACAAACAGTTATTATGATAAAGTTACCTTAGTCAAGAAAAAATATGGGAGGAAATATGCAAAAGGTTTAAATGATTAAAATATTTTTCAGGATGTTTTCTATAGATGTCATGCTTCCGGTGTTTAGAAAGAAATGTAAAGTCTAAAGCACTTTATATCTAAAGCACTATTTAAAAGCTTCAAATCAATTACTTTGGATGCAAGATCAAAAGAATTGTTACAATTGGTTTCAATTGCTGGAACTAGAGATTTTAGCCTGGATTCCTGGTTGATTTCTGGTTGAAACAACATTGCTAAGGGCAAGAATGTTTCCCAGCACACACACATCAGTAAATTGAAGGTAATGAGTGGAATTTATCCTATCATCATGTCTTAAGGCGGAGTGCTGATTGTATAGCCAGAAGAGCTACCACTCTTGTTAACAAAAGGCTAGACAGGACAATGGAATTACTCATCTAGGAGAGTTTATTTCACGTTCTAAAATGTGAAAACAAGTCTGCTTTTGGTATTTGGACTATTCAAATGACAAAAGGGGAAATCAAAAGTGTGAAAATCAGAAAAATAGTTTTTTGCTTCACTTAAATTAGTCTACCTGGAATATGAATCCATGATTGTGAGTTTGTATGTTTTTTTGTTTGTAGAAATAAAACTGGACTGTCTCAGCACTACTAAAGCTGCTCCACCTAAAACTTTCACTGCTGCTGTGCACACCCTGCCTACATCTGTCTCTGAATCAGCAAAAGGAACCAGTATTTCAGAGACAGGGGCAAATGGACCAGCAATGAATAATGGCAGCGGGCCTGCACCATCTACAGAATCAGAAGAGGAGAAAGCCAAGAAGCTCCTTTACTGTTCCCTATGCAAAGTGGCTGTAAACTCCTTGTCACAGCTGGAGGCTCACAACACAGGTTGGCAGTTATTTTTTTATTTTAATGTGTTAAAAAAATTTAGTTCCAACAGAAATTTCAGTCACATGAATTACTTTTCCTGCTCACTATATAGGCATTCATTTTACCTACATAACAGTGAAACTAAATGGAATTGTATTTAAATGAGAACAGAAGGCATGTCTTTACACAACGAGTTGTGGGAGTATGGAATAAGCTAGCTAGCCACATTGAAGCCAAAAGCCTGGATTCTTTCATGAAAAAGCCATATGAGATCCTTGGATCAATTAGTAACTAACTACCAAAGAGGCTAGATGGCCTTAATGGCCTCCTCTTGTTTTCAGCTTTTCATATGTTATTATGTACCTGCTGTTAACTGCTGGGTCATTTTTATATACATTAATTAAATTATTTTCTGTTGACTTCTTGGTCAATTTTTATGTATGCATTTTGTGTTCTTTCATTTCATTGCAAAGACTGGCTGGGTTTCTGTTAGGCTTAAAATGGGTAAAAAAATAATCATCATAATTACCAGTTTGCATGGTAATAAATCTAACATGAGTGGGTTAATTTTAACATTTGGCCTTTAATAAAGGTATTCATGAAAACATTTTTCAGTGAAGTGAGAAATAAAAAATAGGATAAAAGATTATAACTGTCGGTGGAGATTTTGTTCAGTCATAAGAAGAATGTGCAATTTATTTCCATGACAACGAGTGTTGCTGAGAAAATAATTGGTATTTATACCATAAATGAGATGCTGTTTAGAAGAAGTAAATGTGTACTGTATATATCAATTAGGTAGTGAGTTATGTAACCAGGAAACTTTTCAAATATCTTTATTGAATTAATTTTAAATTATCTGTAAGACTGAAGTCAAATAAATTACCCCATTAGCCTTGGACCTATATAAAAATGTAGCACCAGTGAGTTAAAATATTTTGATGTACTGCTATACAGTGTATTCCAGTGGTACATTTCTATTTCTGCAAAAGTAAATGCACATTATTTCAAAATGTGTACTATGTTTTATGATTTTCTGTGCTGTACATGGTTCTGTTTTAAAATCACCTCCTTTTTTTTAATTTATTTCATCTGTACATTAAAATGTCTGTTCTGTTTTTCTCTCCACATAGGTTCAAAGCATAAAACAATGCTGGAAGCTCGAAATGGAGCAGGCCCAATTAAGGCATATCCCAGACCTGGATCAAAACTCAAGGTCCAGACTGCAGTTGTCAAGGGGTCGGGTTTGCAAAACAAGACGTTCCATTGTGAAATATGTGACGTCCATGTCAACTCTGAAATTCAGCTTAAACAGGTAGAACACATGAACATCCTTAGTACAATTCCATACGTAATATTACTTCCATTAAGTAATATAATGCCATATAATGCAGTCACTCATCTATCTATTCATCCATCCATTTTCACATTCATTGTGAAATTTTCCCAGAAGCGAATTAACCTACCAGTATGTCCTTGGACTGTGGAAGGAAACTATAGCACCCAGAGGAAACCCACTTCAACATGGAGAGAACATACAAACTCATGCAGAGAGCACCCCAGGTCTACAATTGAACCCAGGACCCCACTGCTGCATGGCAGCAATGGTGACCACTGCACCACCATGCCACTCCGAAGTCACACAATCAAAGTTTAATTTCATTAGAAGTAATATTATTTATGTAATTGTCATTAAATTCCAATTATTTGTTTGCTAATTGGTTATTTAAAATGTAGCACTGTATTTGAATATATTCATTCTAAAGTGTCTTTTCCATGCATAGGGATTTGGCGCAAGTGTTAAAAAATCACATTCTTTTCCAGTGTATATGAAAAACAAGAACAAAAAATACAACTTTATGCATCTCTCCTCAGCCTTAGCATTAAGTGTTTGCTCCCTATTTCTGTGTAAGCAGCTCTTAATGTGTCATAAATTTGTGTTGAACGAGAATAGCAAGGTATTAAACACTTCCACTAATATAGCTATTTTTCCCAGGGCAGAAGTTCAGTTAGTTATTTCAGGTAGTTTGGGTGGGTAGCTGCATCAGCATGCGTAGGCTGCAAAGGAACAAGTAATAGGTTTATTCCATGCTGAAAAAAAGAAAAAAGAGAACACTACGTTTCGGCCGTGGAGCCTTCTTCAGGTGTGAGAGAGACAGGGCAGTATGCAAAGGTTGGGAGGGAGGAGGAGTGAGAGATGGGAGCAGGGGACAGAAAGAGAGGCCAATCAAGAAGTGTGAAGTCAGAATGGGTGCAGAGAGATGTGAAATGAAACTTCCAATGAATGGAGAAAATTTAAAAGAACAGTAGTCTGTCATTAAGAGAAGGGAGAATGTGTGATCCTAGCTGCAGAATAATTTTGGTTTCGGTGGTCTTTCTGATGTATGAGTTCAGAAATCGTCTTTGAGAACACAGACGGAGAGATTAGAGTGGTCGTGGCCGTCAGAGGTGAAATGAGAAGCAATGGGTTTGGAGAGATCTTTAATCTTCACAGCCCTGACGTGTTCTCTGAAGCGATCTCCGAGTCTCCTTCCTGTTTCTCCAATGTAGATGGCTGGGCATTTACTGCAAGAGATACAGTAAATAAGGTTGCTGGAGGTACAAGATGTTGTCTGGGTGATCCGGAATTGTCCTGAGGAGCCTTGAATGACTTAGGTGGTAGATGTGTACTTGCAGGTGATACAGCGAGCTCTGTTGCAAGGGAAAGTGCCTGGTGTGGATGGTTGTTGAGGGCGGTCAAGGGAGCTGTGAACAAGGAGGTTATGCAGATTAGGTGGTCGGCGATATTTCAGGTGACACCTATAATAACACCCTGGGGGACACGATTTTCTAAGCACCCAATACATAATCTGTTAAATACCAGGTACAACAAAGAGATTGGTGTCTTTCGTTTGTCTTTCTATTAGAGGCCTCGTGCAGATAGTATTTTTGGGATAATACAAATTTTACCTCCAAAAGAACTTATATTTATTTAAACCTTTGCAGGCAGGATAACTAAAACTAGATCATTTCAAGTACCCTGTGTGTGCTCTGTCTGGTGGGAGTTTTTGTATTTATGTCACATGTTTGAAGTCACCTTTAATAAACATTTGTAGGACACTATTATCTGTGTGGATGTATTCTAAAAAAAACTACCAATATCCATTCTGAAATATGTTGTTTTGGCCCACCCATAGTTGTTTTATATCATTATGACAGTTTGTGTACCTGAATCCTAACATTGAAAAGTTGTAAATTATGTTTGCATAGTTTTTATACTATATACTCTTTATAATTTCCCTGACTGTATTCCTGAATTCTAAAATGCAGTCATCACAAGCAAGTTCTCTTCAAGTTCTGAATTATGCTGCAGTATCTCTTTGAAAAACTATTGAAAGGCATTCCAGTTTCATCTGTATTAGGGCTACTCAACTTGCAGTCCCTCCAACATACTCCACTGAAAAATTTTGCTTCAAGCAGCTCCTTAATTGTATGCAATGATTCATACCATGCCTTCAAATCAGCAGCTCTAGAGTACTTTTACACTACTAGCAACTTAATTGTTTTATTGATTCTGCTAATAATTAATTACGTATGTCAACATGAAACACAGTGTATGCATTTTTCATGATGCTGAGATACATATTTTGTGCTGTACTATGCAACGTACTGTTCTCATGAGTCTGTCAATTTTCATTAGCTTGTATTCAAGGAAATCATCAATCAGGATTTCTTAATAATCTAATTGGTTTTAATTTAACATCTTTCTATATTGCAGCACATTTCCAGCAGGAGGCACAAGGACAGAGTAGCAGGCAAGCCCATGAAACCCAAATATAGCCCCTACAATAAACAACAACGCAACTCAACTGCTTTGGCAGTAAGTAAAACATTCCGGTTTAGTTAATTGATTGTTGTACTATCATTTTAAGTGGGTAATGAGATGATAATAAGAATAGCATTGTAAATCTTATTGTGTAGCTTTTGTCTCTTTTATTCAATTCTGTGCTATAAAAAAGAGACAGCTGGAAACTGTTCCACAAAGGATTAAAGATACTTCTCTTTCTCTGTAAGCCTGTTCGTGTTTTTCTTTAGTGTCTTATACATATGAGTTGGTAAGTAATTTCACATGATGCTTTATTAAGCCAACAGTATCCTACTACTTAGCAATGTAGTGTACTAAAGAAATAACAGTTATGGGATACCGAGTATTCTTTTTTGGCAGGTTCAAGTCACTATCAGCTTGCTTGCACAGGCTAGGCCACCATAGACAGTGCTTTTACAATGCAGCCACACTGATACCCAAGTGCAAATTAATTTATGGGTTCATATACTGATTTAATATGCTAGGCACATTTTGTCACCATGATTACCACAAACCCAGATTACTGAAACACTCAAACTGTGCTAATAATTACTTTAGGCTAAGTGTTTATTTTGACAGCAACAGTAAAGCTGAGTGCTATAAGCTGACATTTCTATTTACTATCTTAAAGTCTTTAATCAACAACACAAAAGCAAATTCTATCTTTGTTAATACCTAATGCTATTGTTGCTTGCTGGTTGTCTTTAAGTAATATGAAAACATTAACTAAACAAAGAAAATAAAATGTAAAGGCTTGTTTCTGTTTATTTATTAGATCTTTATTTTTTTTCAGGCCAAACTTGCATTCCAGAAGGACCTGGTTAAGCCGTTATCTCCTGCTTTTATTTCACCCCCATTCTCACCAACAGCTGTGCCCTCTCTTTCTTTACACCCCCGACCCAATACCTCAATCTTTCAGACTCCTGCATTACCACCCGCTCTCTTAAGGGCAGCACCAGGGCCAATACGCCCAACAGCAGGATCAATCCTCTTTGCGCCGTATTGACTCTTCAGCATGACATGACATTGAAAGGCCAGTAGCAAAGGGAATGTCAAGCTTGTACTGGTTTACAGACCCTTCCTCTGACCTAGTCATGTTGTGTAGTGTACACATCTGAACTTGTGTTCAACACAGCACCGTCCAAGTGGATTGCTATTGAAATTTTTTAGACTTTGAACAATGTATTTATAAAATAGTTCATCATAATCTTCCTGTTTCATGAGCTAGTCAAATGGAAATGATTTCTAGAGGTCTGGATATCCAAATTAAAATTGAAAATAAAGAGCATCAGACTGCTTCCTGAATGACTTGAAAATACCATGGTCTTCCTAATCACCTTATGACAGACAACTCCAATTCCAAAAGCACAGCAGTGTGGCTAACATCCTAAGAAAAGGACAGTACACAATTTTAACAATGTCTTGATGTTGTCAGGGACTGTATAATGCTGTTTTAGGCCTCTGTGCCCTTGTCTGTTGTGTAGTTTGAGATGTATCACAGCTAATACAAACCTTTCTGCTTTTATGTTTAGCCGCTTCATTTGTTTTGACATTACACGTTTCCTATTGCATTAAACTCTAAAAAAGGTTAGATAGCCATATATATAAAAAACAACTCACAGCAGTCATATTTTCTGTCAGCCTCATAAAAGAATTATTAGGTAGCGTTCTCACTGGGTTTGTTGTCGTATGTTAAGTGTTTCTTTTCAAAATAAAATCCTAGAATTGCACATTTACCATTTAATCTTGCCTGTTATCTGGCAGGGAAATCATGGGCCTTTCATTTATGTAGTTCTAAAATATCCTTCATTTGTAATGGTGCTGCATTATGTTGTGGCCCTTTGATGCAATAATGTACAGAACATTAGATATTTATATTTACTATAGTGTTTTTAATGTTTACTTAACAGGTTGCAGGTCTTATAGAGGAGAAGCGAATAAGTAGTGCACAGATTACTTGTATTTTTAGAATCTGAAAAGCAATCGGCACCAAGAGAAACATTAAAGTTTTTGTTCATTACAGTCTGTGAGTTATTTGTTTAGTGTGTAGAACGTGTATTACAGAAAAATCTGTACATTTAAAATGTACCTTTTCAATAAAATATTTAAATTAACTATTCTCATACAATAAATTGACTTTTTATTAAGATTTAAAGATCACAAGGATATAACAATGTATTATATTTTGAATTTCAGTTTACAAAAAACAAACCTGCTGAAGAGTTTCATATGAAGCATGTTTACTTTTCTGAATTGCCATCTTTGAATCAATAACTGGATGCTTTCATTTATGAATTATGTACAGTATTTATTTTCTGGGTATTTGCCATTTTGTCATGGCTACAAAATAGGCAAAATATATTAAAGCAAATTTTTATAAAACATTATACTGATGTTTCCAAACAGGAGCTATTTGAAGCCAGTTTACTTGGAGCTCCCTTAATCATTTTTTTATATCTGTATCTTTTAATATGTGCCTGCTGTTACCTTTTCTTTTATGTGAAGTAATGTATCAATGTAAACCTGAGTGTACCATTTCAGCATCACTGTATTTAAGAGAACATTATTTTCAACATTATTCCATGGCATTTCTAATTTCTTTCTGTAAAGGTACATATTTATTCTTCTTTGGTAAATATTGATAATAACAACAGCTTATCACATCACTGAATGTCAATAGAAAGACATACTTCTAATGTAAAAAGTTTACCCTTTAAACAAAAATTCTGAATACTGTGAAAGCAGATATAAAAATATAAGAGTGAAAATATATGTAAAAAAATATTAGATAATCCTTCTTTATAGTCAAATCATAACCTGAATGTTTTGTCAGAAAAAAGAAAACATGTTTACATGTAACTGTCTTTAAGTTATAAGATGTTTGCTTTTAAAGGAAGTATATAATAAAGATATTTAACGATTATTATTAAAAATAAGGGCATTAAGGGTGTGAAGAGCAATCTTAAGTTATTGCTGGAATTCACTATCTGTAACACCCTTAATTACATAAAAAACATGTCATGGAAAAGGTGATCTTTGCCAGTCTTAGTATCAAATTATTGTATTGTGACGGCATAATAAATAAGGAGCATAGGAAATGAAATATCCTAATGGGAGCCTACTCTATAATGTTTGGATTTGATAGCATGTTTTAGAAAAATAAAGACTAGATATTCTTACCTAGTGGTAATACCTTTAGTGGTCATTTATTCTAAAATACTGAAGATTACCCTTTCCATGTATGTATTTTCTTATTACTTTGAAAGGACTAGATGAAGTTGTTTCTATCATTTCTTCCTTGTTCCTTGCTGTCTAAAAATGTCTCAATATTTTTGGTCTGACTGGATGACTGAAAGTCATAATGTCACCTAATTTTAGCTTGGAAATTCATCTTCTGGCTCATTCAGTGACCTCACAAAAGGTGAAGACCAGTCTAGTCCATTTAATTTAATATTTTTTGTCACTTGGATTCATTCATATGCATAGCAGTCATTTTTTCATTAAACATTTTGAAAGGATTGTGAATGTTTCCTTTTATTGTACTAAAGAAATGTGTTCATTTAAATTTCTCAAATTTTTGGAAAGATTTTTGTCAGATAAGAGTGGATCTCATTAGTAAGGATATTATCTTATCTAATAAGATGTCATTGTGTCAGTGTTTGAAAGTAAAGATTATGTTCTACCCTTTCATATTTTTAAACTAGTCAATGCAGCAAACGTTTGAAAAAATTAAAAGATTTCTGTAGGACTATTTGGTTACACTTAAATATAAAAATATAATACACTTAAATTTTTCCTTAGGTATAATTAGTTACATAGTACCAATGAATATATTGTTTATTAGCAGTATGTTTCTTTAGGAGAAGAAAAGGTCCATCCTTTCAGTACGGAGTTGGTTAAACAACCATAGTCCAAGACAAATAAGCATGCTTCATTAAATACATGACTTATATTTGTGTCAAAATATAATAATGCAAATAAGAACAAAATATGTAGTCTTTTAACTTCCAGCTTATTATTTTTGTAGTTCATTGCAGTATGGTTTTATTAAGTATTTTAACCTACGGTTCCTCAGTGAACTGTTTGAAACATGGGGTTAATTGTCAGTACTGAAACAAAACACTGCACATAGTGCATCACTTTGTGGACAAGACTGATGTCAGATTTTAACTCTGATATCATCTTGGTTATTTTGGTAAAATATGTTATGACATTTATGACTGCCTTTAGAACATCCATGTTATATAAGCTAATGTAATATGAATGACTTAATGTCTGGCATTCTCACTTGGAGTATTTGCTTCATACATTGTACATCTTAATAATATCTGGTATATCTGAAACTCACAGGGCATTACAAACAAGCATTATTCATAATATATATTTAGAAAATGCTGGCATCTGCTTTCTTTTGAGTTATTTCCTTAACAATGTAAGCAGTTTCATTTTTATTCTGTCTGGTCCTGAGAACATGAGTTCACATTCTTTGCAGCTAAAGTGTAGTATTCATCTCACAACGGTCTGATAAACATACAGAAATAAGGGAGTTTTATATACAGGCCTGTGAAATGCATCATGCTCTGATATTACCAAAGGTCTGTCAGAAATGCATCTGTAGTGCAAACTATATGCTGTAGCCAAGAAATATGTTGCTGTTGTTGTCTTGATACTTAATCAAAAACATGTTCAAAGCAAGGAAGTAAAAAAATTCTACAAAAAAAGGATCACAACAATCACAATCACTTTAATGTATTGTTTAATGTTCTATGAATAATGAACAAATACAGTTTTCCAAAACAATGTAAATAAAAAAAATATTTTGGAAAACACACCATAAGGAATTGAAAATCAATGAAAATATTGTACCTTATGGAAAATAAGTTTTGTATGTTCAATCAGGACAGTGACTTTTTTCTGGGGCAATTTATAAGATAAAGTATAGAATACGAATCATAATGTTTGCCTTTTTAATTTAATCAAGCAAAGCCACTTGAATTTCTGTATAATAATATACTGCACATTTTATTTGTAACAAAAGCCTCTTAATTGTAGCCCATAGCCAGTTGCTGTCTATAGACAGTAGACAAAAAACTGAAACACATGGGTAAATAAGTGACACTATCTCAAGTGATTTTTAAAGGGGGATGATTGTTGGGGCATGGTTGGCATGAGCTTCAGTGATGATGTTTCATGAGCAAAAGTTTCTAAGCTGATGTAAGAATAGAACAGCAAGGGAAAGACATTTTCAGCGAAGGACAACGGTGGAAGGAAACTCTGATATCCATACATGTGGAAGTGCAATGTAAAACGGACAGCAGCTCCCGATTACTTAACTTTCTGCCTGGGGTGAGAGAAGTGCCAGTTTAATCAAAAATGGCCCACTGAGATCTCCATGGAAAGGGATAATACAGGCAGGTTGCCATTAAAAAACGTTCATCACACCTGTACACGTATGTGAGGTCAAAGGTGCAAAGAGCACTAGAACAGTGGAGAAATGTGATACGGTCATCCTTCACCATGTGCCTGACAAACTGTCTGGTGTGTATGTGGCACCAACCTAAAGTTCTACAGCCCTGAGATAAGGTCATGACATATGGATAACCACAGTAATGTTTCCATATGTTTCCATTCTAAGTCACCAGATCTCAATCCAATCAAACATTTATGGCATATTCTGGAAGAATGGCTATACATTCCTCCATCAGAATTCCTGACATCTATGCCATGGCACATACAAGCCATATAGATATTTGGAACAGTCAAAGAAGAAAGCCCAAAATCTCCAGAAGTGATGTTACTATTTCAGGGCATATCCTTGATGTGATACATGATGAACTAGTAGACATTTCTCTTAATGAACTAACTGTAAGTCCAGGAGTTAGTTACTTTAGAAATGTAAAATTTACATTCGTGCAAAGGGATCTTATAAACAGGTCTTATTGGAATAGTTGAATGTCCAAACACAGAAGAATATAATTTTAAAGACAGACTCTGTTTAAGAAGCTGAAGCTGTACAGAAATGGTTTAATGAGCTACAGTTGTGGTCAGTCCTATTTATAGAGCCTGTTTGACTTCTCTAGGAGGACTGCTGGGCTCACTCAGACAAAAGAGAGGGGATTGCATTTGTTCTCAGATTCTTGAAGTAGTTGCAGTGGCTCTCTCTGGGACAAAGAGAAAAAGAAAAACACTTGTACTAAAGTAACAATGCATGTCAGTGGAGAACTCTTCCAAAACTACTGCATTTGTAATACAGGCTGGGTCAGCATGAGAGAGAAGGCTCCACACCCGAAGAAGGGTCCACAGCCAAAGCTGTGTTTTCTTTCTTCTCTTTTCACCATGGAATAAACCTATTACTTGTTCCTTTTCAGCATGAGAGAGATACTGGCGACTGCGAGAGTATTGTACATAGGCTGGCTGGATGTGAGAGAAAGCATCGACAGTTACAGGGAAGGATGTGTGTATCTTTGCCAGAGACAGTGGCTGGTTAGCTGACTGAGACTGATTTGCAGGGAAAGGCAAAAGTATCTGTGGTGTGAGTGTTCTGTGACTGAGGTTGTTAGAAGAGAGTTTGTGTGGGTGCAGCAGCATTAGTGGTGCTGTGGCCTGTGACTGCCACGAAAATACATTAAATGTAGCCAGAATGAAGTTCTGTCCTCTGGACAAGTGAAAGCAGATTGAAATGTCTTTGTTGTGCATGTATATACTGTACTGTAATAGGGCAACTAGAGTGGTAGACTCGAATAGAATCCCTCAGAAGAAGGGTGAGGAGCGGATTTTAGGTTCTGCTGAAGTATCTTGGTGATGATCTTGGAGTAGATAGAACAGCCAGAAGGACAACAGCTCTGTCGGTAGAGTAGCAGAAGGTGCCTGGCTGGTTGCTGGCTCTCTGGCAACAAGCAATGTCTGGCATGTCTACACTGCAGGGACAGCAAAGGACTCTGGCAGGGTTGAGTACAAAACAGGCTGTGAATTGTTGAGTTCATTGGTGTATAATAGAAAAAAGTAATGTTAACTGTGTATGGGGGCTGTTAGTTGTGTTGTTATAACGTGTGAGAAAGAAGGAAACAATATGAGCGAGACTGACATGATCAACGAGCTCAACCAGTGGGGTGGGGTCTGTCTGTTTCAATGATCTTTACAAACAAGCCCTGGTTTAAATTGTTTGGCAATAATCAATGACAATTTGCACAACAGAGAACCTTACTGCAGTCTGTACAGTACTGCAGTATGTACAACAGCTGTAGGGAGGCAATGGGGTGGATCAATAAAGTGTGAGGCTGCATCTCAGCAAAGGGTCTTGGAAGTTTATTAAATTACACTGAGAGTTAACAGGTACCCGTGGATTTTTTCAGGAATGTTTTCTGTTTTTCTGACATGACAGTGACCCTAAGCATACAGTAGTGAAAAAAGTATCTTTAATACAAGGAGTCCAGCAGAACATAGGTTTTAACATAATTGGGTCAGAGCAGTGGCACTGTGGCTTAGGATCTGCACCTGTGGCTGGAAGGTTGCTGGTTCAAATCCCATGGCTGTTAGAGGAATCCTACTCTGTTGGGCCCCTGAGCAAGGCCCTTAACCCCAACTGCTCCAGGGGTGCTGTATAAATGGCTGACCCTGCGCACTGACCCCAAGCTTCTCTCCTTGTCTGTGTGTGTCATGGAGAGCAAGCTGGGGTATGTGAGAGGACAAATTCCTAATGCAAGCAATTGTAGTTGGCTAATAAAGCAACCTTATTTTATCTTATAATAATGTATGCAATCAAATACAGCAGATGTCACGGTCATAACAAATTGGGTTAAAACAAAAGCAATGTAAGGATCTCTTAAATTTTCATATTAAGTTAAAGAATTTTCCCTTATAAGTATAATAATAATAATAATAATAATAATAAACTTTATTTTATATAGCGCCTTCAAAGGTGGCTTCTCAAAGCGCTTTACAGGATGACAATAACAATAAATAATAAGAATACAACAATAAATAAGAAGAATACACAAGATAAGACACAATAACAATATACAACTACAACAATACACTAAGAAGAGCAGAGGGGTGAAGTATAGAAGTATAGAAGTCTGTGTTAAACCTTATTTAAATTAAAATGACTTTTTATTGAATATTTTTAGCACATTTTAAATGCAATGGGGAATTTCTTTAATTCATTTTTAGGAAAGGGAAGTTGCCTTCTTTTTTCACATTTCACATTACAGCACATCAACAAAGAAACAAACTTGGTGAACATTACTATTCCATAAGTACTATATACTTTCTGGGCTTGGCTTGGTAACAACAAAGTACACTACAACACATGCTGTCATTTCTGTTTCTTTTATTTATTTTGTGAATAATGTTATTTTCTATACATGTAAAATGTAAATTAATGCGTATTACATGCAAAAGCACGACTGTGGTTTTGTAGAAACCTGAATAAAAAACACATAAAGCACTGACTATAGTATACAGAGGTTTACCTTTTAGACATATTTAACAGCATCATTTTTTATTGTGAAATTTGAAC